GCCTCTACCTCGCCCCGTGTCGGCAGAGGCTGAGTCCACGGCCAAGAGGCCCCGCACCACCATCACGGCCAAGCAGCTGGAAACCCTCAAAAACGCTTACAACAACTCGCCCAAACCGGCGCGGCACGTCCGGGAGCAGCTTTCATCGGAGACGGGGCTGGACATGCGGGTGGTGCAGGTGAGACGGGGCGGCCCCCGGCCCCCGGCTCTGCCCGGGCCGCGGGGCGGGAGGCGGCGGGGACGGAGCCGGCCCCGCGGAGAGGGAGGGAGCTCCCCGGCGTGCCCTGCTTGCAGGTCTGGTTCCAGAACCGCAGGGCCAAGGAGAAGAGGCTGAAGAAGGACGCGGGGAGGCAGCGGTGGGGTCAGTACTTCAGGAACATGAAGCGCTCCCGGGGGACCTCCAAATCCGACAAGGACAGCATCCAGGAGGAGGGGCCCGACAGCGATGCCGAGGTCTCCTTCACAGGTCGGTCCCCGGAGCCCCGTTCCCTCTGCCCTCCCTCTGCCCTCCCTGCAAAGCTGCTGTCCGCGTCCAGGCTCCTTTCACCCCCTCGCTGCTACGTTAAGAATTTTCAGCCGTAATACAATGAGTGAAAACAAGCGCCCAAGGAGGGAGAGGTGCGGGATCCACGGCGGGGCGGCGCCGTGCCCGGTGCTGGCAGGGCTGGGGCGGGGGGAGCCGTGGCTGAGGAGCCGCAGGGGACCCCGCTCCCCCTGCGGGGGGGCTGCGCCAGCTCCAGAAAGGAGCAGGGGGGCAGGGGGAGCTCCCCGGGCGGGCGCTGCGGGTGTCAGAGCCGCCGCTCATCGCAGCCTGTTCAAGGGGCTTTTGGAAATACAAAAACCAGAGAGTCCAGCATCTCTGAACGTTTCTATGGGAAGAGTATGTAGAATTTTTTTTTCATCCTATTTAGGGGTGGTTTTATTTGTGTCGTTACTAGTTCGGATTCCCTTTCCAGTTGTGTGGGAGCTGTTAGCTCTCCACTGCGCTGTATACGGGAGATCGCTGCGTGTTGGGAGGTTTCTGCATCGGAGGGCCCCGTTTTTGGAGCAGAGGTTTCTGTTGATAAAGCCAGGGACGTCGCTACGCTAGCTCTTGCCCTGCGTAGCCTCATCCCGCGCTCTCCAGACCCAGGGCATCCGCTGCAGGAGTGGGATACGGCCCTGTGCCGGGCTGGGGGGATCGGTACCTGCCGCGCTGCGCAGGGGCACGTTCTGCACGGCCCCCGCTGCGGCCCAGAGCTGCCCCAGGGCCGAAGGGTCTCTGCCGACGCTGTCCGGTCTGTGCCCCGCAGTGCCCAGATGGCTCTGTGTGCGTGTGTGTGTGTGTGTGGTTTTTAGGAATCCAGGAGAGAAGCTGCAATGCAAAACTCTGTGTACATATTTGCACAGACGTGCGTCCATAACGCGTGGATGTTTATACGCGCAGAGCTTTTCATCTCAGCTTCTCTCCCCTGTCTCTAAAAACTATTTGATTTTCAAGTCTGTTTGTACACACTGTGCATCAGCATCATTAAATATGAATATACTATAAATAATAACTAAAAAATGTTGAACAATTATTGATAGCTTGATGCCACAAACGGGTTTGTATCCTAGGCAACAGAGCGCTCGCTGTCCATAAAGCCCCTAACGAATGCAAACAATTTTTACTGGTAACTTAAAAAATATTGCCCATTTTTCAGAAGTGTTTTTAAGTCGTACAGGTACATTTCATTAGCCTGTTCCTGAGCAGACAAATACTGCTGAGATTTAATATTTTTTTCTAAGCAATGGAGAGTTTTTCTTGCATCAGTGAATGTTCAGGTAGCTTCTAAAAACGATATCAAAACTCAAGATAAACCTCAAAGCCAAACAGAAGTGCGGAACAAAAGGTGGAAAGACGTTGAACTCACATTTCCCTTTAAAGGATTATTTTTAAATCACAGTCTTATATTTTAATATGTAGTTTTCATGCATATTTTTAAAATTCAAAATGTATTAGATGTTTGTACTCAGAAAAAACAATAATCCCGTGGCCTTCTGTGAAGATCTGTCAACAAGGATGGGAATAATAAGGAATTACAAGTGGCAAGTGCGTGGCTGCTCAGCTCCCATCCACCTAATCTATTTATACCCAGAGCTTGCAGGAGCTCCTGTGCAACCGCTGCCAGCCGTGACCATTGCCCTCCCAGTAAAACCAGTCCGTTTCCCTTTCAGATGAGCCCTCTATGTCTGAAATGAGCCATTCCAATGGGATTTACAGCAATCTCAATGAAGCGTCCCCCGCTCTGGGGAGGCAGGCTGGGACCAACGGGAGCTTTGCTCTGGATCACAGCAGCATCCCGGCTCAGGACCAGTACCACGACCTGCGATCCAACAGCCCCTACGGGATACCCCAGTCACCAGCTTCCTTGCAAGCACTGCCAGGCCACCAGCCTTTAATCTCCAGCTTGGTTTACCCAGACAACGGCTTGGGCATCATGGGACAAAGCGGACAAGGGGTGCCCCAGTCCATGAGGGTCCTGGCTGGGAACGGACCCAGCTCCGACCTCTCCACCGGCAGCAGCGGGGGATACCCGGATTTCCCTGCCAGCCCGGCCTCTTGGCTGGATGAAGTCGACCACGCTCAGTTTTGATACAGGGTCCACCACCGTGCAACGGGAAGGGACTCGGTGCTGTTAAATGTCATCTACCCTTGGACATAAAGGAGGGACAAACTGTGGTCGCTGAGCGGGGCAGGAAAGCACGATGGCACGGAGAGGGCGGACGCGCTGTCGGAGGGCGACCTAGCGGTGGGCTGGCAGAGGACGGTGGGCACCGGCAGTCGCACCGCAGAGATACGGAGCGTCCAAACGAAACTGATTATTGTGTCTTTACTAAACACCAAGACTTGTGCTTTACAGATTTGATATAAGGTATTTTGCTTTCTGTTGTCAGTGCATTCTCCAAAGCAAGGACTTGCTTCATCACCCATCCACACCGAAACCTTTTAAAGAGAAAATAAGGTCCTCATCCACGGTAAAAGGTGTGACAATGTCTATATTTCTATAGGAGAAATGTTAATAGTGAATCACCCCAGAAATCCATGGTAGAAAACTCTGTTCTTCCAGCAGATTTTTTAAAAAGCGCACCGATGCGGTATGTTTTGTTTTATTTTGAATTTACATTAACTTTTCTAAAATGAAATGCTCTTTAATATGCCAATCATTTATCAATAACCCTTTCCTTTGTAAAATGAAAATCATCTGTTAATTCTGCTTCTCATCTTTTTAATTTGTAGATTGCTAGTTTTATTCTTCCATATAAGCATTAAACCGTGACTAGATGTATTTATTACCAAATAACTACACTTTTATCACCAGGTCAAGAGGTGGCTTCTCTTGACCCAGGAACAGTAGCGGCTCTGGGTTGTGAAACTTCTGCTTTTCTTTCAAATTCCTTTGCAACAGTTTTACTGCAAAGTGTCTCAAAAATCACCCTGACGTCTTGTTGCCAAATACCTTCGGGGGGGTCTCGGCAGGGAGGTGCGGCCGTTTGCTTCGAGCCGTTCTCCAGGCGGCGCCGGGCGCGTGTCGGAGCGAGCGCACGCTTTCCCGGCGACCCTTCTCTCTTTCAGGCATTTGTGTATTTACGCAGATATCGTGCGAGCGGATTGTGAGGAAAGGCAAGACAATATGTATATTGTTATCTGTAAAAATTATTGAATTAACTGTAGATCATGTGAATGTCCAGTGTCTTTTATTTATATTCTCGCTTTCTCTCTGATGATCAAATACTTCAAGATTGCAAATAAATTTGTCAGCTAAACTTTAAATAGTCTTTTGCTAAATTCCCATCAAAAGCATCGATACAGGTAAATACAATACCTGAAACTAAAAGGAAAAGCCCCCAAAATTCCATGCCATGCTTCAACAAACCGTTGAAATACACTCTTCCCTTTACATACAGGAGCAACCCCACCGACGTAAAAATGCTTTGATAAGCTGAAACAAAACCCGGCCGTTTCGGAGGCTGGCAGTCCTCGGGAGATGCAAGCAATACCGCTCTGTGTGTGCACAGGCTTTGAACACAGCCGAGCTATTTTTGACGGCTCATGGTTATTTTTCAGCATTCATTGCAAAGGTAGAAATACGTAAAGCAGAAATCTGTGCTGACAGAGCAATAGAAAATAGCCGAGTCTGATATTGTCTGTCTGTGGACAGAAAGTTGTGCACATGAAATACTAAAAGTCAGATATTAGACTATTTCAAAGAGATATCAGAAAGAAAAGGAAAAAAACCTTAAGGATTTAAGCTTGGCTGAACATACGCAGCCCACAAGAGGTGCATGCACACGCATATCTTCATATACAAGTGTCTGCGGTGACGCTCCTCAAAGCGGAGTGAAGCACTTTGCTGAAGTCTCTGATTTAAGAATCAGATGGGAAACACTACTTAAAGCACATGGGCTTGGAGCCTCTCGCTCCCCTGGGAAGTCGGGGAATATTTGTACCGGGGTCTGCAGCGTATCAAGCATCTTTGAGAGTGTGTGAGTTGGAGACCAGCAGCACGGAGGCAGCACCGGGCCCCGCGGGCGATGCCCCGGCACACGCCGTCCCGCGCTGTGCAGGGGACCCCGGGGAAGAGCTGTGCCGTCCCCTGCGCCAGCGCCCGGCACAGCACTCGTCGCCCCGGGGACTCACCAGATGTCAGGCGGCGACACCTGGGAAGTCCAGGCTTTTGTTCCTTGCCTTTTCTAAAGAACACATCGCTGCTGCCGGCACAGGGTGATGTGTCGTTGTCTCCGGTCTCTTGCTATAATCCTGTGCTGTTTTGCAGGCGTGGGGGGACGTGTGCCGGCCATAACACACGGCCATTGCTCCCTGCTTTCTGGGCCCTTGCTCGGCGAGGATGGGACACCGAGGTCTCCAGAAGCACACAGGTATTGACAATATTTGCAGAAAGGTTGAGATCTGCAAAATACTTGTTAACCACCAGCACTGTGTAAGCATCTTTACAGCTTTTCCCCGTCCTGTTACACAGGCATTGCACCTGAGGAGAAGAAACATTCCCAGTTTCTGCTCTCCGTGAGCTATCAGAAGCCTGCCCAAAGCAAAACAGGCACATGCCTATTGCCTTAGGGCTGCAATATTCGCTCAATGGAGAAACTCACTCTTCTTTTCAGGAGACGCAGCCCAAGAGCTACGGCAGGGCAGGGAGAAGCCCCACTGCGTGACACCATGGGGCTTTTGGTGTAAAAACACCACCCCAGCTTGGACCTGGGGGTGACTCGTGCAAATTTGCTCGTCTCTCTGCTCCTGGGGGATTGTTCAGATGGGTGAAGCTGTGGCTCCTGCAGCCAAGGCAGGAATTTGCCTCATTCAGGTCTGAGCCCAGGGCTGGGCTCAGCAGCAAGAGTCTGGAGCTGCTTTTTCTTCCTTCTCCAGAACTGAGTAATAAAGAGACAACTGTTGCTGCTAGCCCGCGGGTACATTGCAAGGACATTTCTGACTGAATTTTATGGAATAATTAGAACATGGTGGGATTTTAAAAGAGCAGATTACAGAAATTCACCCAAAGGGAAAACAAGAGTTGGTGTTTTCAGGAATTCTGTGTTTTCTGCTCTCTTGCCCTATGATCTAGAAACACTCTCACCAAGTCTGGCTAAGTGGTTTGCATCAAAACCTTTTGGCAGATCAAGTATAAATAATATTTTCCTATAAAAGACTAAAAAAGACTCTAAAAGATGCTTATTTCCTAAAAAAGAAATAAATAAGAACAGAAAGACAGAAATGTAGTTGATTTTAGGATAATGCTGCTGTTATAAAACCACTGTCTGGAAACTGTAGTAATTGAACATGTATTTTATAGATCTTTTTTTCATCGTTTCCCTCCCAGCAAATAATGGGCGCCGTTGTTCCTCTCACTCCGGGAATTCCCAGCGGATGGCTGAATTTAAGAAAGGAAGAAATGCAAATTTGCCCCTCTGCCTTTGTGCTTTGCTCTGAAAGCAGAACGGGCTGAAAGTTGCCGGCGCTGGTGCTCGTCTGAACGTGGAGGAGAGGTCCCCGAATATCCTGATATAAAATTCAGGGATTGCATTTCAGCCTCTCCTTTCAGGGCTGAAACTCAGGGATTCCATTAATATAAATGCTTTCTTCCCATTAAAAAGAAAACCAATTTGAAAGAAGCAAATAAAACTAACACTGTCCAACTGACTGACAGCTTGTAAAACCCAAACAGAATTAGGAAGAGGGTTTTGCGTTGCTCAATTTGCAGGTGAGCTTTACGGCCTCCGCTGATTTGCGTGAGTGCATGACATGGGAGGCAGGAAATTTTTTGTGCTCTCAGCAAGGAAAATCTAACGTATGAAGCTTTTTTTCTGAGCAGCATATTCACCTTTTAGAAGAAGTCATGCCTCAACTTGCATTCCTTACAGACACAAGAAATGATTAGATTTTGTGTCAAACAGTAGAAGTAACTTATCTTTTTCTTATTGTGATTTTCTGTATGAGGTCAACGAAAGCAAACCCCTCATGCTAGGAGGGATAGACACCACCTTACTGTTCAATATTTCCTGCAGGTTCTGCGGGGGTGTCGGCTCGGCAAGGGAACCTGTTTATCGGCACTCGCAGCGGGCAGTAACCCAACGCCTGTGAACCAGCTGGGAGCCCGGAGGCCAGCGGGAGCCATGTGCCGGGGGGGGGTTAATCCGCCTGGCTCCGCTCACCCAGCTTCTACCGGAGCTACCACTTGAGAAGCCGGTGTGAGCCCAGGGCCCGGGGCCGGGGGGGGGGTAAACCCGCCTGGCTCCGCTCCCCCAGCTTCTACAGGAGCTACAACTTGAGAAGCCGGTGTGAGCCAAGCCAACCAGGGCCAGGGCGTGCGGGTTTTGTCCAGCCCGATCCAGGGGAACGAGGTGGCGAAAGTGGGGTGTCCCCAGCTGGGGTCCCAGGGCTGGCCTGGGGACAGCCCGCTTCCCCAGGGCACAGGGCTTGGGGACCTTAGTGCCCCTTTGGGGACATTAGTGCCCCTTCGGGGACATTAGTGCCCCTCTGGGGACGGGGGCCAGGTGAAACCCCTCGCCCACGGGGAGCAGGGAAGGTGGCTGGGGCCGGGTCATCCTTGGGGTCCTCTCCGGCGGCTTCTCCCAGATGTGTCAGAGCATCCGAGCAAAGGTGTTCCCACCGCCCTGCGCATCCCGCCTTGCCTCTCCTGCCGGCACCCAGGGCTGCGGGAACAAGGCAGGAAAGCAAAGACCTGCATGATTTATACTGAAATAACATTTCAAAGCAGCAAATGACTTTGTTAAAACCTGACAAGAAAACCAAGTTAGCAAAAATATGCCGAGAAAAAAACGTAAAGGTGTTTAAATTAGGGTTTTTTTCCCTTTCTGACATCTTTATTATGTGTCTAGGTGGGAGTGCATTTTGCACTAAACCACATGTGCAGGCGTGTTTGTTGGTACACGGGTGCAGTGGATGGGGAACAGAGCCTAGGGAAAACATTGATTTAGGATGCAGAAAGCATTGCTTTTGTGCTCAGCATTTTGCAATCTGGGGATAAAAAATAATTTAATAGCCAAATATGCAAGGCCTCTGGATTTAGATGAACTTTCCCATGTTAGAACACAGGCAGTTTCTGCACATGATTTCTCTTGCAGG